TGTGCACTTGCACACATGGATATGGGCACAGTAAACATGTAGCGTCATGTAGCAAGCACAAAGGGCTGCTATTTTTTGAGCTGTGGGGCTCATTGACTCTGTTTCATACATGTTTAGAAGTTTAGCTCTTTGCAAACAGGAAGCCGCAGACGGCGGCCTCTTCAAAGGTGGCAAGGGTCCCTTGCCCGTTGGCAAAGGGGACACGCAGCAGTTTCTAAAAGACAACTCGCAGGCGAGCCTGATTGAGAAAAGACGCCAGCAGTCATGGAAGCACAAGTGCACCGGTCGGCCACCACTTCTTGTGTTGGCAGGATGTCCCCGACAACGCTTTCCACAGCGTGTTTAAAGGTGGCAAAGGCTTCAAAGGTGGCAAAGGTGTTGACGCAGATGAGTTCCTCCAGGACGTTCGGGAGATAAAGTAAAAGACCCAAGACTAGACAGTCTGGAATTGGCGATGGCAATGGTAGGCCAATCAACAACTCAGAAGCAGAATAGAAGACCAAGTCCCATCATACAACTTTTGTAGCAATTCTTCGTTCGCTAGAATCTATGACTGCTTGAAGATCAACTCCGCATGCTGTTCCGCAGCTGGTTGAGCTGGGAGGACGCTTCAACCAACAGTGCCTCCTACCAGCAGTTCAATGGTGGCAAAGGTGCAACGAGCTCCAGCCAGGCCGTGTGCACTTGCACCAAATAATATAGGATAATAGGGTAAAGGATAAACATATATATATATACACATAGACATACATACGCCGAAAAAAGTAGTAAACACGAATGACTGGCTTGTGCTGACCTCTAGGGTTCATTGAGCTTGTTTCATGCATCACATGCTTTCTGTTTAGCTCTTTGCAAACAGGAAGCCGCAGACAGCTCCTTTGGCCTTTTCAAAGGTGGCAAGGGTCCCTTGCCAGTTGGCAAAGGGGACACTCCGCAGTTTCCAGAAGACAACCCGCAGGCGAGTCTGATTGAGAAAAAGACCTCAGCAGTCATTGAAGCATGTGCACCGGTCGGCCACTTCTTGTTGCGTTGGCAGGATGGCCACGACAACGCTTTCCACAGCATGTTCAAAGGTGGCAAAGGCTTCAAAGGTGGCAAACGTGTCAACGCAGATGAGTTCCTCCAGGACGTTCGGGAGATAAAGTAAAAGACCAAAGACTAGAATAGGCCATGTCGAATTGGGGGGGCTGAATGAGGAATACTGTATTACTTTTTGGTCAACCGGTGCTGGCTGTGGTAGGCTAATCAGCAACCCGAAGCAGATTAGAACTTCAAGTCCAATCACACAACCTGGTGTAGCAATTCTTGCAGCTACGTTCTTTGGACATCTATGGTTGCGTGAAGATCAACTCCACATTCTGTTCCGGTGCTGGTTTGCAGTCGGGAGGATGCTTCAACGAGCAGTGCTTCTTACCAGCAGTTCAATGGTGGCAAAGGTGCAACGAACTCCAGCCAGGCCGTTTGCGCTTGCGCGTGCACACACACACACAGGGACAGTAAAAGTTCAAGGCAGCAGGCCCCAGATAAAGACCAGCTGGACCGCCTTGGAGTTATTCACGGGTGAGCCTTGGCAGGAGGATCTCGAGACAGCTGTGGACAGTCCCGTCAAAGCTGGCAAAGGGACGGAAGCTGCAGCAGTTAAGGACGGGTGTTTGATCGGAGGTGCTCACGGCCTGGTGCGGTTAATTCGCTGCTGTGAATTGTGCGCCACACAATGTAAGGCATGAGGTGACTTGTTGCGAACGGCGCCGCCTCAAAACCAGTGATGGGACTTGTGAGCTTACCAGCGCTGTGGAAAAGGCCATGAGTCGTGGCTGCAGCACCTCTTTGTTTTCTACACCAAGACCTCACGAGCTTGGGCCTGGGTAACCATCTCCGTTTACCATCACCACCATCACCATTCACCATATACTGCTGGCGCCAGCGCGACACCAGCAAATCACATTTGCAGGAGTTGCAAAGCAAAGCCCGGCCGCCTCAGCCGCCTCTCTCTCTGCAGGCGCGATGTATTAAACATCTTGGGTTACCTTTACTTCCTATTGTATGTACTGTATACCTTCTTTCTTTGGACCTTTTAGACCTTTCAAATTCCTTTTTGTGTTGTTTCTTCTTAAAGCTTAATCTTCGTCTCCGGCAACAAAAAAGGACCAGGAACAAGAAAGCAAGGTAAAGCGACATGTCGAAAGGTCCAAAGAAACCGAAAAAAAACAAGTAATCGCCTTAAATGTTAAAAACATACCAGCAAGAATAAAGACCACCTCTGACCAGAGGTCAAATTTTGTCCTCGAAACACCCATCGTGCTTCGCCCGGACCATCGGCGCTGGACGCCAGGATCCCCCGAGCGTCTCGACCGCCCGAGTGATCCCTCCGCGCTGGAACTCGCGTGAGGCGGTCGTGGGACATCTGCGGCGGTCGCACAGAAATGGACTGAACAACGAATTAGGGACAGAACAATATGGAATTAACTAAGTGGGGAGAAGGGGGGTGCGGGCAAAAAAAAGATCGTTTGGTTTTGGAATGTCATGACAATCGGGTTGCTGGTGATGAATTATAAATTGTGGAGTTCACGGGCACGGCTATCGCGGCCGCCGTGGCCAGCCCTTTTCCTCCTAAGCAACAACCCTAGCAGTGAACTGATTGGGACCAATTCAGAAAAGAATCAGTTTGATTTGTGCAGAAGTGTTCCCAACCTCGGCCAGGGCAAAGGTGGAAAGAACTCCT